ACAGGGAATTTTATTTTTTAGGTTGACAGTGTATAGGCAGAAGGAGCACTAGTTTATGTTCAGACCTCATAGTTGGGAACTTATTTCATATTGACTGGATTCTCTTTGGCTGCCAAAGGATAGATAAATTTCAGAAGCGGTATCAAGTTGGCAGCTCTTTATCTTTGCCTTTTTCTCTTAAATATAGCCTAAAGAAGTTATCAGTATAGTCAGTTTATATACATAGACCTCAATCAAAACTTCAGTTCTCTAATTGCTTTCATTTCTTTTTCTCTGACTTGTGACCAGAATCGTGGAATGATTTCTGAGACCATAATCATGAAATGAATTAAACTCATGAACCAAGCTACTGCTATACTTAAAATTCTAGGACTTCAGAATCATATTCATAAATATACTTACTCCAGGCCAGGGATGTGGCACACACCTGTGATCCCAGTACCCAGGAGGCTGATGCAGAAAGACTATCATGAGATTGAGACCAGGCTGGGCTACATGGTGAGTTCAAGGCCAATCTGAACTACACTGTGAGATCCTGTCTCAAAAACAAAATAAAAACTCCCCAAACAAACAAAAACCAAAAACCCAATAAATACACTTAACCCCAAAACCATATTGTTACTTGTGTTAATTTTCCATGACTGTGACCAAAATATCAGAGAGAAACATCTTATAAGGAGGAAAGATTTATTTTTAGCTCTCATTTTCAAAGGTATCAGCCCAATATTGATTGGCTCCATTGTGTTGAGGGCTGTGGAAAGGCAGAACATTCTTGCAGGGTGTGTGTAGTGGAACAAAGCCTCTTACTTTATCACAGCCAGGAAACAAAGAAAAAGAGAGGGGCTGGGTTCAGTATCTCCTTGAAGCCCCTCTCCCCCCGTGACCTAATTTCTTCCCACGAGGTCCTACCTCCTGAAGGCGCCACCATTCCCAATAGCATTACAGGCTGAAAGGCAAGTTCAGCACACAGGCTTTTTGCAGGGCACAATTAAGATACAAACCATAACACTACTACATGCCCCAGTGGCACCCAGAACAAAATACTTTTTTTCTTTTTTTGCTGTACAGGGGATTGAACTCAGGACCTTGTGTTTGCCAAGCAGGTACTTAAGCAGCTGAGCTATCTCCCCAGGCCCAAAATGCCATTCTAACAGAGAAGAAGGAGCTTGAAATAATGCACCTGGGCTAAAAGAGCCATATTCAACTCAACCTTAGTGAGCAAGGAGACAAAGATGAAAGGGAGTCTCTACTCAGATTTCTTCTTTACCATGAGAGAGGCACTTGGAATTGCCAACAGTAACTTATAGCTTTCAGAAGTGTGTTGCTGCCAGGAGTGGAGAGAAAAGTCTCTTACACCTTCTTTTCTTTCCCTTCTTTTCTAAAGTGCTGAGTAAAAGGTCTGCTTATATTGGTTAGAAGTAGCCTAAGCATTGCCAAAGAACATAAAAGGAATTACATATTCTTTCTTCTGAAAATGCCACTTCCTTTGTGAAGCTATCTTAGTTCCCTATTCAGAATTATAACTTCCTTTTACACCCTCTATTATATAGTTTCAATTTCCATTAATATTTTCAAACTATTATGTTAGTATGGTGTTTACAGGTCTCCCTCTCTTGCTATATCATAAACTTCCACAGCTTAGCAATCACGTCATTATCTCTCTGATTGCCACATTATCAAGTAGAGTGCTTTCTCAAGGGTAAATTGATAGGTGCAAAATAAATGATGCATAGATATGGTATTGTCAGTGTCTTGATGACTGGAAGTTATGAGGACTTTAGGAGTTCTAATAAAAGTTAAAAGCAAATACAATAAACATATCACCTTTTCTACTTAGCCTCTCTCTACACCCCAATCTCTTTTTTTCTGTATTTGGTATCATGATTATGTGCACTGAAGAGGGAGGGAGATAACTGTATAGATAATCTTCTTAGAATAGATTTTATATGCAATACATCTATTTTGATAATCTTCAAATATACTGTTTTGGGGGTGAGATTTCCAAGGTTAAACTAAAATTGATGGACAAATTTCCAGTTAGTGTAAACAGACAAGAGTAGTTCTGCCTTCTGTGATGTAGTATTACCATCAGATGCCTCAGAAATCTCTGAGATTCTAAAAACTGAGAGTGCAACTCCACAAGCTTCTACGAACCAGATGCTGCCTATACAAACTAATAAAGAAGAGTAAAGAAGGGTAGGAACAATGACACATACCTATGATCTCAGCTCCAGGAGACTGAGGCAGGAGGATTATAAATTCAAACGCAGCTTAGTGGAAATTTAGTGGCTTAGCAAGACCCCATCTCAACATAAAAGATTTAAAAATGGGTAATGGAGGGTGGGGGGTGTAGCTCAGTGCAAGGCCTTGGATTCTGTCTCTTCTACTAGGGAGAAAAAACAAAGAAAAAACACAAAATTCCTTTTAACAGAGAAGGAAAAGTGGTCTTTAGCACTCAAAAGATAACCATCTAACTGGAGACTGATTGATGAGGAATAGCCAATGTTTTAAGCACACAGAATCAAATGACACAGATGTTTCTAAAAAAAAAAAAAAAAAAAAGGTTAAATGTGGCCAGTGAAAGTCATCTCAAGTAAGATTGTCTCTCCTCCTCTCCTCTTCATCTGTCTCATGTGTTGTTATATTGCTTCTGGGGGTGGGGTTTATAAAACTTTATCAACTAGAGAATTTTGACTTTTTATAAAGTTGTAAATTTCTAAATAATGAACAATGCACATTTTCCCCTTCCAACACGTAAGAGATACTTTGCTTTGACAGAGACAATGTCTAGTATCTTATCACTGAAAAGAGACAAGAAAGAAGGAAAAAGAGGAAGTAAAAGAGGAGAAAGCAGTAGCAGAAACATTGTTTGAATTTCACATAGCACCTTTGAGTTCATTAGGCCATTATCCCCAGTGCTAGATTTAATCAGAGTACAGGCTCAAAGCCTTTCGGTCGTCAAGAAGCCAGTTTTAGGCTTGGGATTTCTATGTTTGAGTTGTAAATCGGGTTCACAGAAAAGTAATCAGGAAGTAGCTTGGCTGGAGACAAGAAAGAGCCTTGAGATGAGAAATGAGACCATTGATTGTGCTTGTGACTTAGTCTCTTAACAAGCTTAGGGACCTTGAGCAAACTACTTAAACTCTCATTTGTCAAGAAACAGTCTTTAATGATTTCTAAAGCCCCCCTCTAGTACTAATTTTTAATTGTTAACCATTTTTCTTTAAGTCATTGATTAGTTCATTTAATTATCTATTTGAATACCTTCAAAGTACATAATAAAAGAAGTAAAATTAACAGCTCTTTCTCTCAAGGAATTAAGAAGCCAGTGGGAGAGGTGAGAGGTTTGTCTATATGGTAGGATAGAGACAGGAATGGATGCTCATTTGTCTGTTCAGGTTCTAAGAGAAAGTCACAAGCAGCCTAGAAAGAAAGGAACAGGGGAAATAGTATAAGAAACTCCAGAGACGCAATTAGGAGACAGAGAGGGGAGTTGTTATTGTTTCAGCCCACTAATGTTCACTGAGTGCCCACTGGGTTCCAGGTACTGTGATGAGTCCCAGGGATCTTGGATTGGTAACTCAGCCAGGGTAGGCCTCTGATGAAGCATATCTACAGTCTGGTGGTACAGAAAGAACAGGTGAAGAAATGAAATCCCGATTGAGGAAAGTCTCTGAAGAAAAAATAATAATAAAAAGTAAGAGCAAATGCTTGTGAGTGGGATGGACTGCTATCCATCCATTTAAAGGACAGAAAGGGAAGGCCTTTGGATTCAGGGACAGTTGAGACAGGTCAAGCCAGTGACAGGTGACAATTAGGACAGCCAGTATATAGGGGCTAATGGTCCAGAAAGGGGAGCAGGTTAATGTTGAGGCTAGAAAGAGCTGGTGCAAAAGACCATCTGTGTGGTTGTAACCTAAAAAAGCAGTTACTTTTGGAAAATAGAAGATCAAAACAGCACTCTACTGGAAGCAATTTTGGCCCTCGGGGGATATTTGGCAAACTATGGAGACAGATTTTTTTTTTTTTTTTTTTTTGACAGTTGATAGTGTTGGAGAAAGAACCCAGAGTCTCACGTGTGCTAGGCAAACACTGTACTGCTGAGCTACACGTCCAATCTTCAAAGACAGTTTTGATTGTCCCAACTTAGGTGAGGGATGGGGTGGGTGGGTGTATTGTATTATTGCTGAGACTGAGAAAACCTGCACTAAAGGAGTTTTTCAGCTCAAATCTTGGTTTTAGTCATATTCTAAACTTGTGTTCTCGCTACTTTGAATATTTTTTTTTTCTTTCAGGAACTAAAGAACAGATGTCAAGAGGCCTATTCTTTCATCTACTCTCCTGAAATCCCATTGGAGAGGTTCAGGGGACTTTAGGAACCTTTGAAAGGCTTCACAAGGCACTCAATTTGTGCTCAGACACACTGGAAAGAATCTGTGGAAACACACACACAGGAGCTACTCCTTGGGCTTATCTCTCATTAGGGACTGAGATGGGGGCAGGGGCAAGAGAATATTTTCATGTTTTCGGTGTATAATGACATATTAGTATCAGAAAGAATATGAAGTGGGCCCACTAGTAGAGGAGTGGTGGGAAATGCCCTGGAGCCCTGGAGAGTTCCGCCTTCTGGACGCAAACTCACCCTCGGGTTGATGCCCGGGCCCTTCAGGTTCCAGCCTCCCCTCCCCCACGCGGTCCCCGCCCAGGCCTCCGGCCTTCCTGGGACCACCTGGTCCGCCTCAGCCCCACGGGCTTCCAGGGCTCACCTCGGGGCCGGCAAGAGCCTGCTGAGGAAGCCCAGAAGCAGACTGTCCTCATAGCCTCATCCTACAAACTGCCCAGGCAGGGACGCCCGTGGCAGAAGGCCCGGTCCGGGTCGGCGTGCAGCTTTGCTCCCCCTCGTTCGTTCCCTAGGCGCCGCGAGCCCCCTCGCGGGGGAGTCCCGCAGGTCCCACAGCACAGTGGGAACCCTCAGGAGGGCGGGAGAGAAGCAGCACCGGAGCTATGAGCGAGGCGGACTGGAAGCCGGGCAGGCCTGCGGGCCTCCCAACGGCCGCTCACTCTTTGCATATTCATAAGACTGAGCAAGGCCGTCTGCCCTGGCCAGCCCTGAAGATATAATGAATTATTCATAGGGATGTATCTGGCCCCTCCCAGGAAAGGCTTTTTGATTATTCATGAACCCTTTGGGAGTGAGAGCTGCTAGAAAAATCCGTTGGGCTCTGGTGTGAGCTAGGCGTCGACCGGCTGAGGTGAGGGCGGTCCAGAGGCAAGAGCTCTGGAGGAAGGGGTGAGTGGGTGGGGTTGGTTCTTTGGTCCTCAGGTTAAAAGTTATTTTTTCTCTTCTTTTTAGTTGATACTTAAGGATTGGTTTGAGAATATTTTTGCTAGGGTCAAAAGTATTTTGAGGAAAAGAGAAAACCCCAAGGCCGAAGAAGACAGGGAGAAGGCTCTCGATAACATTTCCCCCACTACAGTTTTACACATACCAACCAACAGAACGAAACGAAAGCTAGGTAGATTTAAGGTTTAGTTTTGAGGACATGGAGGAATCCATGTTGAGATAGCGGCAGCCATGATTAGCTGCCAGGTGGTTTGTCAGGTAGATAACTGTGTACCGGAAAGAGTTATACGCACTGCTTTGGCAGTTAAATTAATTACCTGGGGCGAGCCTTCTCCAGCCATTGACATATTCTGCCATAATTACTACCAGGAACAGACCAAGAGACGGTGGCCCTGAGTCCCCCTGGGATGACATGGACTCCTCTTTTACCTTATTAAGGATTTGCTGTTTAATCTCTCTGCACTTTATTTCTCCAAATATTACAAGGCAGGGAGTGTCTTCAAACTCGAAATTAGCCGATCACCATAGTATGTTCATCTGTTGGACTGGTTGGGCCATACGCCATTTGCTCACTTGGTGAAAATAAAGTAAAAGCATGATTCTTGCCCCTACATGGGTTTTAAATCTCATTTGGATGATAATCTAATTTCTTCATCATTGGACCATAAATCTCTTGAAATGGGAACCATATTTTACGTTTTATAATTCTGCACAATGCTTGGCACATTGTAGTTGCCTGGTAAATGTTGAATGAATCACTGAAGTAGCATGAAAAAGATATTTAAAAATCAAAAGAGCATGAACAAATACCCAATTAATACACTGGAAACCACTTTCCCTGAGTGAGCACATTGTAGTGGAATTATCAGGTCCAAATGGAATCTGTTAAGGCAGTGAATAATAATTTATTGAAGCAAGCTCTGTGAAAGGTTTAAATAACAGGGGAACTTTGGTAAATGAAATTCTTGCTGAGCTTCACTTTTCTTTTCTTTGTAGTTTCATGTTTTACACTTAAAGCTGTGTTCCATTATGAATTAATATTTATATGGCATGACATGTAGGTGGAAATTCTTTTTCTTTTCCTTCATCTCTCCCTCCTTTCCCCTCCCCCTTTCTTGTATTCCAGCACCAGTTGTTGAAAAAAGATTATTATTCTTCCTTGAATTGACTTTCCTTTTTTGTTTTGTGAAGGAGAGGGATTAGTGGTAGAGGATATCTTTGACTCCTTCTAGCTTTCTGAGTATTTGGAGCCCGCTTATGACATGCACTGTCTTTGAGGAGTTAATTTTCCTATCACACATATGTAAGGAGCATCATCTAATGTCGTTTCAGAATCCAACTATTGACTATTACTCATTTGATTCAATTTTCTTATGAAAATATGATTTTGGAAGATTGGGAAACATAGGTGGAGAATCATAGCAATTTTAAAAAAACCTGTTATCTTTGAACAAATATAAACTTTGGTTTTTGCTTCACTTGGAGTGCTCCCTTCTCCCAAGGTAGAAAAAGATGGCTTAGGTTTTAAGAAACAGCATCCAGTTAATCTTTATTTAAATCTTGGATTCATACGTAGAAGGGGTTAAAAATGATAATTGTATTACCATTTAAAATAGAACATTTGAGATGTAAGTCAAGAGGTAAGCCTGGAGTGAATTTTTTTGTTCAGACAGAACATGGAAATCTTGCCTTTTCAGAAAGATCATAATCCTTGTTATAGTGTCACAGAGAAGACATATCAAATATTAGAGTGAATGTTATTGATGCCCTCTGAAGTTTCAAATGTTTGGGGATTCAATATGCAAGTAAATGTATAAGCAAAAGACATTTGAAAGTGAGAGTTCTATTCTTAAAATCTATAGTTATGAAAAGCTTCTCTCGGTTTTAGATTTTGAATCAGGACAAGATGATAGGAAGAAACAATCAAAGCTATTCTCTGAGAGTGCGTGATCTCTGGAGTCATATCTCCTGGGGCTGTCTCCTAGTGAGCTTTCAAAATTAAGCAGGTTTCCTTTTTGAATAGGAGACTTCTTCAAAACACTTGCTCAAAGGGAAAAACAACAGTAGCAATAGAATAGTTAGAAGTTCAAATGAGTCTTGTTATTTTGAAAAAAACAATTAGAGTCTTTTTTTACCTTCTTAAAGCAAGCTCAGTCTAGAACACCAGAAAAAGATTCCACCACCGTTAGGAACAAGCAAACAACTCAGCCGAACAACTAGAGGTTCTTGTGCATCATGTAGAGGAATCAAAGGGGCATTTTATTTTGGACAATCAGTTTAGAAAAAACTGCTGCACTGTAAGTTAAATTTCTTGCATTTTTAAGTCTCAGTTTTGCTGCTGTCTGGTTGACCCTGGATAAATCAGTGCTTTCTCTGGACTTTTATTTCCTCATCTAGTAAATTATATATTTGGATTAGATGACATTGAAAGTTCCTCTTTCCTCTAAAGTTTGTGGTTCGTTTTTAGACCCTTAATTCTTCTTTGTTTCTATTGTGCTTCTCCATTGATTCAGCAAATAGTTACTGAGCACCTACTTTATTCTAGAACTGTGATGATGCTGATGGTTTGAGAATGAGCTAAACAAATAAAAAGGCAGTCTTATGTGATTCAATTTCTATACACATTCAAAATAAACCAATCCATAGATATGAAAAGTAGATTAGTGGTTGCCAAGGGTTGACAGAAGGAGAGAATGGGAGTGAATGCTAATGGGCATAGGTTGTTTTGTTTTGTTTTTTAGGAGTGATAAAACTGTTCTACAATTTGAAAGTGGTAATAGTCACATGACTTTGTGACTATATTAAAACCTTCTGAATTGCACCTAAAAGAAACCTTTGCTAGCCAGATGCACTTTTGCCTTCAGGTTAGTTCATAGTTGGTAGATGGACATGCAGAGGCAACTCTGATACAGTATATATTGAAATGGGTACATAACTTGGATGTGGTAGTGGTGATAGTGGAAACTGGGAAATCATTACTTGAGAAAATCATATGAAGCCATGTCCAGGAGATGAGTAAGAAGAAGAAATAAAAGAAGATGTTTTAGCCAAGGGGAATATAGTCCTTTGGGGTAATTAAACTAGATGAGAATAGCTAGTGCATAAAATTGCAAAGGAAAATGATTAGAGATGAGGCCAGGGAGGCATGAGCCAACTCTTGAAGCCGTGGTAAGGAATCTGGATTTTATTCTGAGGGCAGTGGGGAGAAGTATTTTAGTCTGGAGAATAATACACAATTAAGTTTATAATTTAAAAAGAAAGCTCTGGCTGCAACACAGAGAACAAATGGAAAAGGGTAAGGCCAATGACAGGCAGATTGTTGGTTGCTGTAGCCCAGGCAAACAAAATATGTGGCTGGGGTAATGTAAAGTAGAGAAAACAACAGTATGAATAAAATAAGAAATGGGGCCAGGCGTGGTGGCACACCCATGTAATCCCAGCATCAGGAGGCTGAGGCAGGAGGATACTTGTTAATTTGAGACTGGCCTGGGTACAGAGTGAGCTCAAGGTCAGCCTAAAGTGAGACCCTGTCTCAGGGGGGACAGGGAGAGATAATGGACACATGTTTGAGAAATATTAAGGTAACTGGACAGAGAAATAAAGAAGAGGTCAGGGTTAAATCATATATCTTGGGCTTGAGCAGTTAGATGTTTGATGATGTCATTTGCTTATTTAGTAAGCAGACATAGATATTTGGGGAAACATTTGGATGTACAAGGACATTAAACTGGATCCAATAGACAATTAAAAGGTATGTATCAGCAACTCCCAACAGTAACTTCGGCTGGAGAGAGAGATGGACAGACAGACAGACAGACAGACAGACAGACAATCTCCAGACTAGAGATAATAGTTGGAACAATGGGAGTGTATTTTTAGTCCAGGAAGTGTGTTTAAACATTAAAAAAAAAAAAAAGAGCTGGGGCTGGTGAGATGGCTCAGTGGTCTAAAGCACCTACTTAGAACAAAGCAAAAGCACAGCGATCGCGGTTCAATCCCCAGCACCACATGCCAGCCAGCCCCACCCCCTGGTGGGCTGAGCTGGCCACACACACACACACACACACACACACACACACACACACACTAAATTAAAAAAAAAAAAAGAGCTCCTAGGACAGAATCCTGAATAACACCAAAATTGGCAGTGGCAAAAAAATGATAGAGGAAAAGAAGTATGAAGAGTACCGTGTGAAGCAGCAACTGAGACTGGAGGGAAATGAGATTGAACATTGATATAAGATTTTTATTTCTATTTATTTGTGTGTTTGCTTGTTTATGTGGTACTGAGAATTGAACAGAGGATTTTGCATTGAACTACATCTTTACCCTTTAAATTTTTTATTTAAATATTTATTTTTTATTTTCTTATTTTTTTGTATTTTTTTAGGGAAAAAAACACGGCTGCCCCAGGGATCAAAACTCCGGCCCCTGCGACTGCTTGCAGTGCTTTAATCTGCTGAGCTATTTGGCTGGCCCTAAATTTTTTAAATTTTGAGGCAGTATCTCCCTAAGTTGATAAACTGTCCCACTTGGCTTGAACCTGAAATTGTCCTTCCTCAGCTTCTCAGAGTGCTAGAATTACAGTGTGCAGCATACACACTCAATATTTTGTAAAAAGCAAACATGCTTTATTACATACAATGAAGCGTGTTAGAAAATGTTCCAAGTATCTTACAGATATGGCTCATTTAATCCTTGAAATAATTCCAGGAAGTAGATACAATTATCATCTCTATTGTGTAAGTGGGGAAACTAAGGCTCACAACTTGCACAAGGTCATACGACAAGTGAACTGCAGATATGTGATTCTAGTTACTGTGGCTTCAGAAGAGTCCAGTGCTTAGCTACTTTGCTATGCCACCTCTCCAGATACACACATGCTTGGGTAAACACTGAATGAGTCCCCAAATGTAGTTCCAAACTGGATCTGCCTTCATTTTGCCACAAGGAAATGAAGTCCCAGAGAAGTTAAGTAATTTGGCCAAAGTCACACAACTACTAGGTAGTAGTGTCAGAATCTTAACCCCAAAGCCTCTTTCTTCTAGATTATATTGTGATTTTTTTTTCCTCCGAGTACCTTTGTGCGCATAAAATTTAATTTTACTTATTTTACAAATACTAATTCCTAAAGAATTTCTCAAATGCTAAGGTAGCCTACCTTGAACCCTTTCTCAAAAGCAAATGCCTTGGATGTCTCAGAGTTCTTTAGGGATAATATCAACTTAATTCAGGCCACTCATACATTCTAAAAATATAGGTGTGGTAATGCATTGTGTTCTAATTGACTTACGCTATTTTCAGGGTTTGATGCTCTAGTCATGCCATCAGGATATCTCATGATCATAGAGAAACAACAACCACAAAACACTACTAGCATAGAGAGCTATTTAAAAATCATTATTGCCCTATTTATTGTCTCCAAAACTAATAACTACCCCAGTAGGAGGTCATGGTTTAATGGTCTAGAACTAGACTGTGTACTCTTATAGCTATTTCTCCCCCTTCCTCATTTTATCCTTGAAATTTAAAGGAGAAAACAGAATTGTCGCGTCAGAGTTGAAGGTTATATTCTGAAGTCAAAAAAGATATTTTGGAATCTTTAAGGACTAGAGGACAATTAAGTAGTTTTTCAGTTTCACATAAAGTATTGTTAGAGTGTCCCCTAGTGCTTCTCTGAAGAAATAACTTGAGAAAAATTAAATATTACTTGCTTATAATCTCTATCACCACCTTGTGGTAGTGTCCTCAAGTAATTTTACCCTCTTACTGGCAAAAATTTTCAAGAAATCTGCATTAATAGTTAAACAGGTCACAATCTAGCCTGCAAATTCTATTAAGAATGGAATATCTTTAAATAGGTTATTTTACAAGTAGTTAGGTCAGAATTCCATAAAACCTTGAAAAACCCCTTTAAACAGAAAAATGAAGATTTGCTTTTTTAAAAATTGAGACAAAGTCTCACTATGTAGTTCAGATTCTTCTTGAACTTACTGTGTAGCCCAGACTATCTTTGAACTCATGGTGATCCTCTTGTTTCAGTCTCCTGAGTGCTGACATTACAAGGCCATCATGCCTTGCTTTGTTACTTTTTTAATTATAGCATACTGTGTGTAACATAAAATTCATCACTTCAGCCATTTCCAAATATGTAATTTAATTAGGTGGTTCCAAGCACATTCACAATGTTGTACAACCATTACATATTTTTCAAATTTTTTTCATCATTTCAAACAGAAACTGTACCCATTCCTTTCACTCCTCCATTGCCTGATAACTTTTATGCTATTTCCCATCTTTATGAATTTGCCTACTGTAGGTACCTCATATGTGAAATCCTACATTTATCCTTTTATGTTTGGCTTTTTCATTTTTTTTTTTTTTTTGGTACCATGGTAATTCTGTTTAGTTTTTTTTTATTAATATATTTAATACAGGGTCTAGAGGGTCTCACTACATAGATTGGACTCATAGTGATCCTCCTGTTTTCAGCCTCCCCAGTGCTGGGATTACAGGCATGCACCACCACACCCAGTCTTAGTCACTGTCTCAGGGTTCCTCTGAGGTGGGGCCAGCATGGCTTGTGTTTCCAGGGATCAAACCCTGATCCATGCACTCTGCCTAAGCAGGCGCTTTAGTCTGCTGAGCTATCTGGCTGGCCCATACAAAAGCAATTGTTTTTGTTTTGTTTTGTTTTGTTTGTTTATTTTGTTACTGGGTATAGAAGGACCTTGTGCTTGCCAGGCAGGTGTTTATGCCACTGAGCTATCTCCCTGGCCCACCTACTGTTTTTCACAATGGCTGGATTATTTTATATTCCCTCCAGCAGTGGGTAGTGGTTTTAAGTTCTCCATATCTTCTTTTGTTTATCTGTGTTTTGTTTTCTTTTGAGACAGAGTCCCAGTGTACAGTTCAGGCTGGCCTTGAATTTGCTATGTAGCCCAGGCTGTTCTTAAACTCATGGTGATCATCCTGCCTCAGCCTCCCAAGTGCTGGGATTACAGGCATGTACCACCATGCCCCACTTCCACATCTTCTTTAATAAGTGTGTTTTTTGCATTTTTTTTTTTTTTTTTTTTGGATGGTCATCCTAATGGGTAGGATTTTTGCCCCTGCCATTTTGGTGTTATTCAGAATGCTGTCCTAAGAGCTCTTTTCTTTCTTTCTTTTTTTAATGTTGAACTTTTGAGTTTTGAATTTGCAAGTAATTTACACCTGAATTGAATTCAAGAAATGTTTATGAGCTCCTCCTGTATACAGAACACTGTTACACTCTGAGAGAATAATACAGATGAATAAGAAATGTTGTCGAGTCTTTAGGTGACTTCTGATTTATTTTTCTCTCCCTGATGCATTTATGAATGAGCAAATGGTCTTAGAGTTTTCATTGAGTCGCTGAAAAAATTAATCCAGAGACTTTATGCCACATATATAGAAAATTGGTATTGGAGATTAAAATATTTATTAACCTTATTTACCAAAACATAAATCAGATTACATTGTTCTCTTTTTGGAAAATTCACATCAACGATTTTTCCAACACAGACTCATTTTATAGTTTAGGTGGGACCTGACATGACTATTTTAGTGTTTATTCTTCCTTTGTGACTTCAAAATTGAGTTTGGTAAATTTCTCTCTAATTGAACAATCCTGGGAATAAGTCATCCTTAATTATCTTTGATTTAGTTTCTCTTTTGTTTTTAGAAGTTTTTAGTTTCACCTTTGGGCAGAGCAAGATAGGAAGTACTATGTTAGGTGAGACCTCTAATTAATTTTTTTTTTTAAACAGGCTACATTAGTTGAAAGAATCCTGAACCATTCCCACAATGTCTACTCAGCTCTGTCGCGCCATGAGAATACAAAAGGCACCTAAGGTATTTGTTAAGAATTAAAAGAAAATCAATGACCATTTAGTGAGTTGCTTCAGAATCAAGACTTTTTAGCAGCAGTCTTATCAGTTAATTGGCACATAATATTCTTGAAGAGTATGTTTCTACAATTTAATTGCCTAATGAAATGAGGATATTCAGAAGATTAAAATACAAAGTTGTTTCATGTCTGTGTATTTAGACCTTCTAGAATAAAAGAAATTGGAAATAAAAAGGCAACGAGAATGGTTCTGTATTATATCTTTCTTTTCTGAAGCAATCCAGAGACCTTACGATATACATACAGAAAATTGGTAAGCAGAGATTAAAATGTTTATTAAATTTATTTATTGTATATGGTGATATAATTGCAGGAAATAAAGGGGTATTAGGGCTTGTGTTTAGATGTCCTCCCAAAGCCTCACGTGGTTATAGGTGGGGCTTTTTCAGAGGTAGCTGCATCTGGGGTGCGTGATTGATTGACAGTACAGTGCTAGGATTAAGGGTGGGTGATTATCAATCAAATCTACTGATTGGTTTGGCACCACTTTAATCCTTTTAACCTAGAAAGAATATAAAAAAGACAGATAAGGGGGCCGGGGAGATGGCTCAGTGAAATAAGCGCTTCCCTGGCAAGTGCAAGGGCTTGAGTTCAATCCCTGGTTCTGAAAAAAAAAAAAAAAAAAAAAAAAGACAGATAAAAGCTACTAAGGTCCCTTACTTGCTTGCTTGCTTGGCTGTCTTCTGCTTGCCATGAACTGCTTTTCCTCTGCAGTTCCTGTCTGCCATGACATCCTCCCTTGAAGCCAGCCAATTATGGGCTGCTTTCTACAAACTGTAAGCAAAATAAACTTTCCTCCCTTAACTTGTGTTAGCTATTTTGTCCTAGCAACAAGAAAAGTTAACATAAGGAAAAAGCATTGAGAAAATTGGATGCTAATAGCCTGGGAAGTGTTAGTCAGCATTATATGGCTGTGACAAAATTTTTGAGATAATCAACTTAAAAGGAGGAAGAGTTTATTTTGGCTTCAATTTGAGAGGTTTCAGTCCATAGTTTGTTGGCTCCAATGTATTGAGGCCTATTGCTGAACAGAACATATGCAGGGTGTCTTAGTCACTTTTCTCCTTATTGAGACACAATACCCAACACCCCCAATTTAAAGGAAAAGAGGTTTGTTTTGACTCACAATTGGAAGGGCTTGCAGAAGAGGAAGGCTTCTTGCCTCATGTTGACTGGAAACAGAGAGTTTAGAGAGGAGTTGGGAAGGAAGATAGACTCGTAAGTCATGCCTGCAGCAACTCACTTCTTCCAACCAGACCCTACTTCCTAATAGCAATCCAATCACCTTTGAAAAGCTCCAGATATGAGCACATGAGGCCTTGGGAGGCCATCTAGGTTTAAGCCATAGCACAGGGAATGTACAGTAGAGGAAAGATGATCACTTCATTTCAGCTGGGAAGCAGGAAAAGAGAGAAATGGGGACAAGGTCCCAATATCTTCCTTAATCATACTCCCCCAGTAGCCTTATTTCCTTCTAGTAGTCCTCACCTCTTAAAAGTACAGTGTGTCCCAATAGTGCCATGAGGATCAAACCTTTAATATGTGGCCTTTGGAGGACATTTAAGATCCAAACCATAATAGGGAGCATACCAGAGCCAGGCAATCTTGTTGGACTCACTCAGTGAGTTTAGCTTACTCCCAGACATTTACACATCATTCTGTTTATTTATTGGGATACAATATTTTGTAATATGTATGTGTTTTAGTGTCTCTTCTCATTGCTGAGACAAAATATTTGGCACCCTAAATTAGGGGAGGAAAGGTTTATTTGTTGCACAGTTTGTACAGATTTTAGTCCATAATCTGATGACTCCAAGGCAGGGTGACACATGGTTGAGGGGCAACCATTCACAGCAATGGAAGATAGCAAAAACAGAAAAAGAAGGGATAAGCCTCTTTCTGTCCCTTATATTGTATTCAGGCTACCCACCCTAAGGCAGATGTAACATTCACACCCTTAATCCCAATATTGGACCACAAATTAATCACAAACTCTAGATTCAGCTACCTCTGAAGAGCCTACCCCCATAACTGCATGAAGCTTTAGGGGGACATCTAGATACAAACCATAACACTATGTAATACTGTGATATTTTCTGTGATAATACCTAAAAACACCTTTATCTTCTAGATGTTTATAATGTGTTTAGGGAAATAAGATTTATAGAAGCTAGCCGGGCATTGTAGTACACATCTATAATCCTAGTGCTTGGAGGCTGAGGCAGGAGGGTTTCAGGCCACCCTGGGACAAGGGTCTCAAAAAACCAAACCATTATTATCCATATGCCATAACTTAAGAATTTTTCTTGGTCAAAGGTAATAGAGATAGATTTAAATAAGTACTATTTGTTATGATAGGTCATCTAAAGTACTTGTTTTTGGCTACAGTTAAGAAGTTTATTTTTCAAGGAAAAAAAACTCCAAACAAAACAAAACGAAAGAACAAGATTTATAAGAGTTAAATCCTTATGTCTATATTTACATATATGTGAAAAATAGTATGACAACTCAAATTGTAGAAACTTAGAGATTTAGTATGTACTGAAATGATTTGTATATTTCTCATGAAGAAGGTAGACTCAAGCTGGACCTCAAATGATGAAAGAGCAAAAGATGGTGAAATTCTCTCTCCTGTGTCTAGAAGGCAAGTTCTGGATAGAGGATAGAGAACTTCTTTAGGGCGATCTAGCCTATACCTTGGCTCAGATAATCAAGCATGGCATAATTCAGAGAGTAACAAAGAATCCCTCCTTACTAAAGAGTGGAGAGCTCATCATGTTGGGCAGAAGGAAATGAAATTGAATAAGAACTTTGGGAACAAATTATGCTTTATTCTGTAGTTAGTGAAAAGTTAGTGGGTTTGATCAGAATAGGAAATAAAATAATTGTTAGGAATATTAAATTATTAAATTATACCAGATAGTAAAAGATTGGAGTTAAAGGAGAAATAGGGCAGAGAGAAAGCTGTCATTTTCCTGACTTGATTTCAGTATACTGCACTCACAAAGCAGAGTCTTGATGTCATTTGGTTTTTGAAGTTGCTTCCTTTCTGGGAGAAAATGAGCTGGGTCTATGGATCGTAATCAGGTTGGCAGTTATTTTTCTCATTATAAATTAATAAACTGACCTTTTGATACAACCAAATCTTTGGTTTTGGACTGTGTGACCTGCCTCTCCTGGTCAATTTTAAGTGATTATGTGATTTTGTTATTTAGTACTAAAAACAACAATAGTAATTATGGAGGCCAACATTTATTCAGCACTTAACTATGTTCCAGGAATTGTGCCAAGGGCTTTATGTTATTATTTCAATTAAACCTTGCAGTAAGGAAGAGATCAAAGCTCAGAGAAGTAAAATAACTTGCTCAAGGTCACGTAACTTGACAGCTAACCTGTTCAACATCACGAAGGCACTATCAAAATGTATTATTGAAATAATTTTATAATACTGTTATTTTCAAGATATAGTATTTTTATGTGTTAGACATTTATAAAACATCAGTAATAATCCTTAACATGTTAGACTAGCTGAGAAAAATCCAGAGTAACAAAACTGTAGAGGTCTTTCTCAACTTCATTATTATAAATGACCATTTGTTTTTATTTATTTATTTATTTTTTGGCAGAATTGGGGATTGAACTCAGGCCCTTGCTCTTGCTCTTGCCAGGCAAGTGCTTATTCTACTGAGCCATCTCCCCAGCCCCTATAAATGACCATTTGGATACTATATTTAAAGTAAATATCTTTATACTTTCAAGTTATTTAGTTTTACAAATGGGTTACACAAGTATTGCCTCTTTGTTTTGAAATGTTTTCAGTAAGAAACTACATGCATACCATGCCAGCTATTTCCCAACCAGCCCAAATAATCTTAATTCTTTAGAATTTATAATTTATTCAAAAAGTTTTTTGGTTTTTTTTAAGACAAGGTCTTGCTCTGTATTCCAAACTGGCCTTAAACGCATACATAGGCTAGATTGGCCCTAAACTTGAGCAGATCCTCCTTCCTTAGCCTCCTTAAATGCTGAGATTATAGGCATGCTCCACTGCACCTAGCTCAAAAAAGCATTTGTTTTGTTTTCAAAAACTTACATCTACACCCCAAATACATTGTATGTACAAGTGCAATACAATTATTATATAACTTTTTAAGAACTGAATATAAATCAGGAGTGGTGGTGCATACCTGTAATCTCAGCTCTTTGGGAAGCTGAACACAGGCACATATAAAATGCTTCCTAATCCTGGAGATGAGACTTTTCTTTCTCTTCTGCCCCCTGCCCTTTTTTTTTTTTTTTTTTTTTTTTTTTTTTTTTTGAGGTGGGTTGGAGGGGAGGATAGGGCCTCATTGTGTAGTTCAGGCTTGCTGAGCTTATTATATAGCCCAGGCTGGCCTCAAACTCACAATGATCCTCCTGGGGCATCTTCTGAGTGCCACCACACCCAACTTTCTTCTCTTTTCTCCCTCCTCTCCCCTCCTCTTCCCTTTTTTTCTTTCCCCTTCCCTCCCCTCCCCCCTCTTCTCTCTAGGATTGAACCTAGTGAGTGCTGAGCTACATTCTCAGTCTTGTTTTTTAATTTAGGGACAAGTTTTCTTTTCTTTTCTTTTCTTTCTTTTTCTTTTTCTTTTTCTTTTTTTTTTTCTTTTTTTTTCTTTTTTTTTTTTGCAGAACTGGGGATTGAACTCAGACCCTTGCACTTGCCAGGGAGGCACTTATTCTACTGAGCCATCTCCCCTGCCCCTACATAGAGTTTCTTTAATGTGGCATCCTAGATTCATTATATCTTGGCTTCTAACCTACTTCTTAGCACCTCCCCATTCAATTGTGCTTGAACTTTCAAACTCAGACATATTGGTCTAACCCTTGTGCCCCAGCTATGTCATAGCATTCTTGCCCTCTTGCCTGTACTAATAACATTCCTCCTTGCCATTTATCTGAATCG